AGTGATGGCCCCTCGGGGCCGCCAGGAGGTGGGCAGTGGGGAGGGTGGAGCATGTTCTGCTCAGGGAAGATGCATGATACTATTTCACAATGACAGTTTACAGAACCGATCCATTTCTAAGCACAGTTTCCAATTACTATCATTCCCAAGAGTCATTAACTGTGGGTTCCTCACATGACTGTGAAGATAGGATGAGCAAAGATACACTTTTCAAGAGCTGCAGACCACCTGACAGGCATTGGCAGACATCTCCACCCTGGGAGACCCCGGCTGTGCAAGGTTATATGAACGTTTACACTTCCCTTCTCCATCCTTCTCTTTCTCAGCTCTCTGCTCTCATTCTGCCTTCCCTTCCACAGCAACACAGATGGTGGTAATCACTACAGCATGCACTACTGCTGAGACACGGAGCTGGAAATACTGGTGCGCAGATATAGGTAGTATCAACTCATAAATAAGTGAAATTCCAAATAACTCAAGTGTTGGGAGCGGGAATGCTTTCCTGCATTAAGACGATGGTATAAATGCTTGCTAGGGTCCCACAATAGCCCATTCCATGTGTGGTTGAAACACCCTCCATATCCATCTATAATACAAAATATAGAAAACCAAGCTGTTTTCCCTGCTCCCAGCTCAGAATTTGTGTTTTAAACCACCCTCTAGCCCAGTGGTTCTCAACCTTCCTAATGCCGCGACCCTTTAATACAGTTCCTCATGTTGTGGTGACCCCCAACCATAAAATTATTTTCATTGCTACTTCATAACTGTCATTTTGCTACTGTTATGCATCGTAATGTAAATATCTGATATGCAGGATGTATTTTCATTGTTACAAATTGAACATAATTAAAGCATAGTGATTAATCACAAAAACAATATGTAATTATATGTGTGTTTTCCGATGGTCTTAGGCGACCCCTGTGAAAGGGTCGTTCGACCCCCAAAGAGGTCGCGACCCACAGGTTGAGAACCGCTGCTCTAGCCCCAGTTGCTCCTCGGAATCAGAATAGCCCTCTTTAATGTTAGCCAGCCTGGCTGGAAATTTATTCCTAAAACTCATCCATGATTAACATGAAAGAGTGATGTGATGTCAAAGGGAGAATGGGAAGTGCGCTGAGGTGAATAGTGCCCCCTGCAATTTCACGTCCACACGGAACCTGTGCATGTGACCTGATCTGGAAATAAGGTCTGTACATGAGGCCACACTGAATCAGGGTTGGCCCTTGTGTCCTTATAAGAAGAGAGAAATTCAGCCCAGCCGGAATGGCTCAGGGGTTGAGCGTCAACTATGAGCCAGGAGGTCATGGTTCAACACCCAGTCAGGTCACATGCCAGGTTGCAGGTTGGATCCCCGGTATGGGGCATGCAGGAGGCAACCGATTAATGATTCTCTCTCATCATTGATGTTTCTATCTCTCTCTCCCTCTCCCTTTCTCTCTGAAATGAATAAAAAATATATTTTTTTAAAAAGAAGAGAGAAATTCAGACACACAGAGAGGAGAGTACCATGTGAAGACAGAGGTATAGATTGGAGTGATGTTTCTACGCCGAGGGACAACACGTACTGCCGAAAACCCCCGAAGCTAAGAGAGAGGCATGGAAAAATTGTCTCCCAGAGCCCACAGGAAGAACCAATCCTGCCTCCATCCTGATTTCTGACTTCTGGCGTCCGGAACTGTGAGAGAATACATTTTTTTATTGTGTTAGGCTATCTAGTTTGTAGTAATTTGTCACAGTAGCCCTAGGTAACTAATAGAGAAAGTGAATCCCTACCGTTTGGAAATTTGACAGGAGGGTAGGTACCAGAAAAGAAGTTATACTGTGTCCTCTCTCCCCTGTTCAACATCTCTCCCAAATATGTTGCTACTGACACTGGTTTGTGTGGCCACTGGAAGTTTTCACATTCTGTTCTACTCCTGTGGTGACAGCTGAAAAGCACCCTCAGAAGCTAATGAAGATGGAAAATGAGTTGAGTGAACAGGCAGAACTCATTTGCCTTCAAGAACAGAGGCAAGAAGTGTGGAGGGACGTGCAAAGAGCTGTTTCTAAGCTTCAACCCAGTAAAACCTTTCCCAAGTGGCTGAACAGATAGGAATGCTGCTTCCCAGAGGTCAGCCCATGTCCCCACAGGAACCCCTTCTTCCATCCACAGCCCTGAAGAGCCCTGAAGTCCCAGAATTCCTAATTCCCTGCAGCCTCTGGAAAGCTGCTTCAGAGAGAGAGCGAGCGAGAGTGAGAGCGAGTAGAGGTGTAGGTAGGGGTGTGTGTATGCATGCATGCACACTCATGGATGCATTTACACACCAAGGTATAATTTCTCTTCTCGCGATTATCTTACCAGATTGCACATCCTTTATACTGCTCTCCTTTGTTCTCTCTCTTTTATCATTTATTTTATTAGTTATGTCTTCAAAGAGCAGGTGGAGGATGTTTTACTCACTTGCTAGCACCAGAATGGTAGAAAAACAATGCCAGTCTAATGGATTTCACAGTTTTGTCTGAGGTAGGCCCTCGTATAACCTCAAATATTCATCAATATAGAAAACTAGTTTTCGTTCACAGCCAACAAATATTTACTGAGCCCCTGGATCTAAAAGCAGTCTCTTATTTTCTGGAGATACAGCAATAGAAAAATAAAGGAAAATGTCCCTCATGAACCTTATATTCTAGTGGAGTAGACAGACGATAAGCAGAATAAATACAGTAGTATGTTTATGACAAGAGCTAAGGAGAAATTATACAGCAGAGAAGGAAGCTTGAAAGTATATGCAGGGGGTGGGTTAGTGACACTGTCAATCAAGTGTCCAGAGCAGGCCTCACTGATCAGGTGATATTTGAGCAAGCATAAAGGGAGGGATGAAGCAATTTATTAGCTGGAGAAGAATGTTCTAGCAGAGAGGCCATCATGTGCAAAGGCCCTGGGGTACAAGCATGACTGGCACACCTGAGGAGGAGTGAGGAGGCCAGTGTGGCTATAAGGAGGTCAGATGAAGAGTAGCAGAAGATGAGGTCAGAGAGAGCAGCAGGCCAGATTACATTAGACCACATAAGGCACCAGGAGAACAGAGACTTTTACCCTGAATGCTTCGAGGAGCTGTTTAAAGATTTTAAACACAGTTAGCCCTTAAATGGCTGCAAGACCTTTGGTAGGTCATTGATCTGAGCATCAGTTTTCTTGCCTTTAAAATTCAAAGGCTGTGCCAGGTAAATATCAAAGTTGTCTTCCAGCTGTAAAAATTGATCCCTAGACATGTGAGAATGTTAGGTTCCCACAGGCAGGTAGCTAATAAAAACGTGACCTTTCTCCCCATCTCTCTGCTAAAGTTGACAGCGGTGACCCGGCTGAGGCTTGGAAGGAAGCCTGGCTGTTTGCGCAGCCAGTGTGACATAGGCGAGACATTTTTATGCATGAGCGTTTGGGAACGGGGATTTTGAGAGATGGGTAGTGACTGTAGTGAACTGCTGATGCCCAAATTAGACTCCCAGGAGCGCTTAGGGCAGTGGTTCTCAACCTTGGCTGCACATTAGAATCACCTGGGAATCTTTTTAAAATCCTGATTTCTGGGTCTTATCCTCTGGAAATTCTGTTTCTTTGTTACTAATGCTGTGGCCTCACCCCATAACAAAAAAACACACAGAATTTCCGGAGGATGAGGCCCAGAAATCAGCATTTTAAAAAGATTCCCAGGTGATTCTAATGTGCAGCCAAGGTTGAGAACCACTGGCTTAGGGTGTCCCTTAAATGAGGCTGACACGTTCACCTGTGCACCGAACGCCCTGCTGCCTGGCACCTGCTCAGGAACAAGGTGGTGGCAAAGAAAAAAACAATCAAATATCTTTCTCTTTCACATTAAATAAAAATCTAAAAAAAAATAATAAGCATTTTCCTTTCTAATCATTTCAAATCATGCATGGAATATTCGCTTTAATGTTCAAGTCCATTTGCTTCATTTCGCTGAACCATTAGAACCTTGAACAGTGTCCGCCCAGCACACTTTCTGTCTACTTAGGCCAGTGTGTGTGTCTTTTCACTCCCCTTTATTTTTTGTGCTCCTTCGTCTGCTCAACTATGAAATCCCACAGCAACTTTAGCTAAAACGTGAAGCAGAGGCTCCTTTTGTTTTCTTTTGTTTATTTGACTTTTTAGAATACCTCTTCTTCTCAGTGAATAAACCAGAGCTCAAAGGACAGACCCCGCTTCCCAGAGAAAAGCCCCGCTGTGCAATGCTCACTCAGGCCATGTTTATAGACTTGCAGGTCTACTAAGCGTTCCTGGTATTTCTGACTCGCCAAGCCTCTGCCAACACTGCCTTAGGAACTGTATTACTAGCCTCTCAGAACATCTTTAACAGTGACTGGAAGGTTCAGGAAGCCTTCCTGTTATCAGAGTGTCCTATTGCTGACAATTATATCCAAAGAATATGGCAGAAAGGCTAGAAAACATGCAAAAAATAAAATCCACAGGGACTCTAGATGCCTCACTGAGAAGAAAGAATAACACATTGGAGTTGTGTGGCTTCAGCCCCTATTACATCATGTGAGCATAGTGCCCGAAACCTAAGGAAGGCTCACGGATGTTCCATGAGCCAGGGAAGAATGAACACACGCAAACACCGCAGAACGTGGACACTCCTTCCCTGGACACTCACTCACATGGCCTTGCTGGTTACAGCTCAGATTGGTCCATAAACCATGTGCACATCAGCGTGCCCCAGGTGACTGGCGGAGGACACAGAGGGTGCCACCTACAGGATCGGCGGCCACCAAAGCAAGAACACGACCAGATCCTACCCAGGCTGCCTAGCAAGAGCTTAGTGTCCACAAGAAAGTAGACGAGAGGCAATTTCCTCTTCCAACTTAGTGCCCTCACTATTTCTTCACCAGCTTTATCATTTGGGTCCAGAGGGCAAGGATGCCAGGCACAGGCTTTCACTCCACACGATGAGCACACAGGACTCTGCCCTCCCTCTTGGGAACAGGCCTGTCCCGGTGCCTCTCACCTCGGCAGCGGGAACTCCCTCCGGCGGCCGGCAGTGCAGCACAATCATGCCTTCGATGGGAACCTCCCTTCCCTGTGGGTCTTGTTCGAAGTTCTTCCGTAAATCTGCAAAGAAGTGGGAGATATAGGACACTTAGCTCCAGGGCCGGAAGTACTCACATTTGCTCCAAATACAGTAAAATCGTGAGCTTACTGTCACGACCTAGATACACACACACACACAAAACCCATTGTTACAGGAGTTCCAGAATGCGAGAATCATTTCCCCAAATATGCACAAGCACATTTAAAATAAACCTTAACAAAACTGTGCTTAATGCTCGATATTGATGAGAGGATAAAAGATTTACTGGGGAGCCGGAAAAACAAAACTCATTTCATGAGTCTTTGCCAGCATTATCTGCTTAGCAACACTTGGCCCAATAAATTGCCATCCACAGCTATTATGCAGCTGAGATGTGTGTGATATTTTTTTTATTAACTAAAGAATACATTATTAATCTATAACCTCTGGCATTTCCTTAACCCTCTAGGGGGCTCTAGAAGATGATAATAGAGTGCGATTACCTATTAGGTTTTTATTTGTAACCATGGAGAAGGGGCCACATTGAACCACAATAAAATCTATAATCCAGCCAACCAAACACATAATTAAAAATGCAGTGCCCTCTATTCAAACACAAGTGCTGGGTATCTGTGTAGTGCCCTTCACGGAGGCTCCAGGCACTCTGCAAACAAGCGGCACTGCTAACCTTTACGCGCGGAAGGGAGACGCGTGGAGAGGTTAATTGGCTGGCCAGCGGTCACAGAGCATCGCTGCCAGTGAGAAGTTCACCGAGCTTCCGGACATGCGGTCTGACTGCGCACCCGCAAAGCTTTCTCAGGGAAAAGGACACATGGGCAGTTCAGAAAGAGCTTCATTTGCATGGCTTTCCACTTGAGCAGATGCTTCACGAACAACAGGGGGACTTGACCTTTGCTTCCATCGAGGTGTCATAACAACACTTGAACGGTTTTACAGCACCAGCTGAATTCTTGCAGTCACTTGAAAGCCCGGCAGAGGAGCGCACAGACAGTTTTACAAGTCCTTCTCCATGTAAATGATCCCCCCTCCCTCCCTGACAATGTATTTTTTTCTTCAATTGAGTATCTCAAATTACAGGCTGTGGATTTATTGATTTAATTTTCTTCAGTGCTTACAATAACATGAAATATGTTCCCTGTAAAGAGCGGAGCTCCAGAATCAGTTACATCTTTATAAATTTTATAAATACATTAAACTTGCTTTTAGCAAGTCAAAAACACGCGATGAATAACAAGCACAGCAATCCATGTATTCACTTGCTTTTGAATTTTACTCTTAATGTTTTCCCTCCCAGAGGCAACCGATGTCTTCAGTCAGTGGTGCTGTATATGCCGAGATCTGCATGAGTGTATAGGAGGCAAAGGATCCTCAAAAAGGCTTGTATTGCAGGCAGATGACAGGATCCATCTTCTTATTTCTCTGTTGTCCCCAAATGGTAAGGCCAGCTTCCTTCTGTTGAAGATCCGTATATTGTCACAGCCTTTATGATTCAGAATTTCTGGTTTTAAGTGTGATGAAGGTCACATAACTGATGACAAAACTGTGAATGAAGGGATTGTGCGTAAACTCCAGATTTAAAAAAAATCTCACATTTCCTCCACAATCTTACCACAAACTCTCCTTTGCTCTCCCAACAAGAGGTCTTTGAGTCAAAAATCCCTTTTCCACATGACTCATTGATTTATCAGAAATATATAGAAATTAGTCGAAATTAGAGAGAGTGAGTGACACAAGACATCAGTTTGCTAATGGAAAGGGTTGTGTTTTTATGACGAATTTTGTATGCTGTGTTTGTCACTTTTTTCTTTTCTTTGATTGCATGATTTCTTAAAGGAAGCCTTGCTCAGGGGTGCTAAATAAAGATTGCAGGTTGACAAAGCCAGGTAATCTGTAATCAACCAGATGAAGCACAGAAAACCAATCGTTCAATGAACAGATAATGACTAGTAAATATGAATATAAAAAGGAAAACCCTGTATTGACTCTGGGATATAGGAAAGGGTATTATCTATAAACAAGAAACTTTGAGACCTCTCTAGTAGATCAATCCTATACAACCAAGATCATCTAAAGAAAGGATCTACCCAACTTCTGCTCTTCCCAATTGACTTTTGAAATAACTGGAAGAGTTCCAACAAGAAGCATATCAACACCTCTCAATGTGGAGATTCAAAGATTAAATGGAGTAGGGGGTTAGAGAACAACCGGGGTGTCATATATCTGGTCCAGCTCCTAACAGGCAGCCATTCAGGAACCAGATATCACACCAAGTAAAAACCCCAAGTATCATGAAGGCCTGGCCTGCACCTAACACTGGTGGCAGGGACACCGACATTCTGGACTCCCAAAGAGGGCAAATATACCTGACAAATTTCAGCTAGATACTGAATATAGTACAAATTATGGAAATAAACTCTTAGACTCAGAGGTAAATGCTTCCAACCCTCCCTCTGATTCCCACCAAAGGTCACCCAACCGAATTGGCTTCTGAATTGGCAAACCAAAGACTTCTATCACCTATGTTACTGGTACTTTCAAGGCTTGAAAGATTCAGATGGGAACCTATGCAATAGCACAGAAAACATCCCAAGCTGCATAAAAAGGATTATAATACAATGAAGGAGACAGCCGGGCCATCATGTCTCAGTGGTTGAGCACTGACCTATGAACCAGGAGGTCAGGGTTCAATTCCCGGTCAAGGCACATGCCTGGGTTTAGGGCTGGATCCCCAGTGGGGGATGTGCAGGAGGCAGCTGAGCAATGATATTCTCTCTCATCATTGATGTTTCTATCTCTCTCTCCCTCTTCCTTCCTCTCTGAACTCAATAAAAATATATTTTTAAAAAATGAAGGACACAATTCATAGAACTGAAATTATGGCTTCCTCTTAAGATACAGAACAAGAGACATTTTAGATAACTTGTAATTTAAGTTCTTTAAAGTTAAAAGGAAATAGCAACTGAGAATCTAGAATAGGGAGTTATAAATAGGATAACATCTGACATCAAGGAAATTGACACTATGTAGGAAGAAATATACAATCAAAACTGCTGAATTAGTAATATATCTATCACAGAGGCAGTAAACAGCATGCTGAATATTGCAGAAATCCGAACTAATGACACAGACCCAGGTGTAAAACATAGCACAACAGTTGTTTTAACAGAAAATATTAATGTAAATAATTGGGGAAATAAAAAGGTAAAAGGGGAACTATAGGAAGCAGGTCCCACCCTCCTCAAAGGGGGGAATGCAGGAACAAAGGGTGAGGTTGGGATTATAGCATTTTGAAGCTTAGAGAGATATCAAATGTCCAAGGAGAGGACAGTGAGTTCTGGTGCCTCAGGACTTAAAGAGTCACGACCCAGACCTCCGGAGAAGGACTGCTCACCAGACTAGTGCTGGCATCTCTAAGGGGCATCATTAAGCTGGTTCTGGAAGCACATGAAAAAAAAAAAGCTGGAAATAAGAATCAACTGCCACTTCCCAGATGAAGAAATTCCGCTAGGATGATGCTGACAGGGACAAAACAATGAGCAGGAAGAAGTATCCTTGCCTTCCTCTTCCTCTGGCCAGTCTCCTCTGGTGCTCCTATTGGTGGATCTGGCTAGGGAGTCCCAGCCCAAGCATCACAAATTATGAACCAATGGTTAGAGAGATGGGAGGCAATGGCCTTGGAACCAAGAAATTCCAGTTTAGGAAATTCCCTCTAGTACAGATCTTATAATTGCTTACCCCATTTGTTTTCCTCACTAGATCTGGTTCTATGAAGGTGGATTTATGTCTGAAATGCTCCCCCTTAAATCCTCAGTGCCTATTGAACATCAGGTACAGAGCAGGTCCTTAACAAATACATGTTGAATAAGTAAGCTAAGAGAAAAATAGTACAATGTTAATGATGAAAAAAAGATGAAATAAATAACAAGAGATAATGCTGCGATAGAGAAATGCAATTGAATATAATAGGAATTTTAGAAGACAATAAGCTGAAAGAAATGATAATCAATACAATCATAATAATTATTCCTTAAGCTAAAAAAAAGACTTGTGTTTTCAAAAGAGGATTGGATACATGGCAAAATCATTTTAAAAAGAAAAAAGATTCTAGATATGTCATAGTTAAAAATTTGAATTTTGACATAATTAAGGAAATTTTAAATAATTATTTTACAAGTTTATTTGTAGTAAATAAGCTGAAATACCTAAAACTTTTATGAATAGGAAGAATTAACATTGTTAAAATTTCCATGCTACCCAAAGCCATGTATAGATTCAATGCAATCTCTATCAAAATTTCATTTTTTCACAGAAATTTTAAAAAATCCTAAAATTCACACATGAAATCCCCAAAAGACCCTGAGGAGCAAAAGCAACCTTGAGAAAAAACAAAGCTGAAAGCTTCACACTTCCTGATTTCAAACTTTACTACAAAGGCTTAGTAATCAAAAGAGTATGGTACTGGCACAGAAACAATATAGACCAATGAAACAGGATTAAGAGTCCAGAAATTAACCATCAAATATACAATCAAGTAATATTTGACAAGGGGACCAAGTATATTAAATAAGTAAAGGGTTGTCTCTTCAATAAATTATGCTGGAAAAGCTGGATAGTCATATGCAAAACAATGAAATTGGGCCCCTAGCTTACACCATTCATAAAAATTAACTCAAAATGAATTAAAGGCTTAACTGTAAGAACTAAAACCATAAACCGCATAGAAGAAAACATAGGGGAAAAGCTCTTTAACATTGGTTTTTATACCAAATGCATAAGGAACAAAAGCACAAATAAAGAAGTATGACTAAATCAAATTAAAAAGTTTCTGTGCAGCAAGAGAAATTACCAACAAAGTGAAAAGGCAACCTACAAAATGGAAGAAAGTATTTGCAAACCATATGTCTGATAAAAGGTTAATATCCAAAATATATAAGGAACACATTCAACTCAATAGGCAAAATACAAACAATCTGGGGGTGGGGGTTGGGGGGCAGGACGGGAAGAAAAGGGTAAAGGACCT